AGGCGATCAATCGAACGAATCAAACGATATAGACGAGTGTTCGTCTATCCAACCATTTATCCTTTTCATCTTGTTTATATATCAACTAAAACAGTTGCTTTTATATAGGTTCGATAGATGGCCGGTTTCCAAACGTTTATAGTCCCGATCGAAACTCATATCGGATCAGCGTCGGGAAGAATGATAACGGTCCGTTTTAGAATTCAGGAGAGAGGTTGACGCGAGATGGAGAAAAGGAAGAATGCAGAGCACATAGGAAGGGTTCGCGAGGAAGTGATAATACGCGCATAAACCAGTCGACAAGGCCAAACGATTGCACGGTCTCGCGCTGCATTCTTACGTCGGAAGAAAAGTGGCCGGTTCCTTCGGCACGAACATTAATATTCATGTTAGCAGGACAGCAAACGATTTAACCTATGTGTACACAGCTCGAATCAAAACTGGGTTGAATCGACTAAGTAGTAAGCATGCATGCGATGGAACGATCCGTGTTATTAACATAGACCTTGTCCCAGCTGGCGATCCACCGTGTTATTCCACTCCGTAAAACGACCGAGAGTGGCGAGGCTACCTTCGAATCGAGGGATTATGGAGGCAGGCGAAGGAAAACGGGTTGAAATTGCTCGCGGTCACGCCAGCACCCTCTCGATGGAACCCTAGCCCTCTTCCACTTCTTATCTCTGTCCTTTTCTTTCGCGCCTTTCACGTCCATCTCTCTTTTCTAATTTTCTGCCCGCTTTCGACCGTCCGTCCTTGCACGCACAGACACTGGCTACACCCAACGCGAACACGTATCATCCGAAATTGCGATAACTCCAGGCTCGGGAGTCCACCGGATCATCGCGTGGTCCAACACCGGAGACGGAGAAGGAACGAAGGCGCAAAAGTCATCGAAGAGAGGAAATTACGGAATGGTTCTCGCGTAACGAGAAGATATTGCAAAAGTGGTTTCCCCGATCGATCCTCCCTCGATGCATGGCTTATCATCTTTCCCTTTTCTTGGCACACGCAAATGGGCAAATGAAAGTGAATCGCGAAGACGCTGTTCCCTGTCATTTATATCGACGATGATATCGCGCAGTCAATGACGCACCGAGAGAAAGAACGTCGTAAACCGAATCGTTTAATTTAAATTTCAATTATAACAGGCGTGGTATTTCGGACTGGCATGACTCTTCCGCGAGTCGCGAAAACGTGACGGGGTTATAAATTCAAGTATTGCCAAAAGCAAACGACTGTCGACCTACATAAATTCGCGAAAAGATTTACGACGACGCTAGCTGCGGAATACAGCGACGGAGATAGGAGCGAAGCAATCTACGTGGCTGGATCTACCGTGTCTAGAAAAATGTAATAATAACGCGATGACTTTTGCTGGAACCGAAAATCTCGAGTGGCGAACACCAACGTGACTGCAAAACACGGCATGGTTCCTCGTTGCGAAGCAATACCCAGAGGGTACTAAAACGTAACGACCAAGTCACGCCACGTGTTCCACTTGCGGAAACAAACAACAGATCCAACAAACCGGCGTAAGTTTGTCAAATTTTACTTACAGTTTAATCCGCGGGAATCTTTGCGACACTCGTTCCTCCCGTGTTGCGTCAAAATGAAACGTTCAACGAGTTTCGCCAATGGCGAAAAAGATTATACCGCGTGACAAAGGATAAGCGTGGGAACCCTGATAACCGAGAAAATTGAACGAAAAATTGCACGGATATAAACTACTGGTCTGTCTGGTGTGAACGATTACCCGGTGACAGTATGATCCGCGTTAAAGGAAGTTGCGAGAGGAAATCATCGGATCCTTTTTATTCGAATGTTTCATTCCATCATTGACAGCTAATCGCTTTGTTCCGTTTAATCGAAAGCGAATCGTGGCGAGAATGGAAAATTTAAGAAGAAATTTAACTCCTTTTTCCGTAACGTTATGCATTGAACGAAATAAGCGATAGTCGATAGAGCATCGCACGAAAGATTTCAAAAATTTCCGAAGCTTATAATCCGAGTAACCGTAAAAGCTTGGAACTATCAGAGGAGCGATAAAAGCGAATTACCAATCAGCGTTAAGTCACGAAGAAGAATATTCCGACCAGGTATCCCTTCGAGGATATCTTCTTCAAAGTTTCTCTTAAAACGAAAACGGAATTAAGTCGATATTATTAATCCTTCACCGGCGAAGATCCTCCCGGTATTAAATGGAAGAGTAAGTTTTCGATACGCGCGCGCACGCGCATTGCTATTTTGGAAACTGCAGGGGAATATTCGCAAGGATGTAGCGTATTGCGAAACGCAAAGTCACAAACAGCCGAGTTTGTCGACGTTTCGCAAAGATAGGAATTCCAGAACGCGCTGCTGGCAACCGACTAAAGTACTTCGATCGTGGCACGACACTCGCGTCGCGACATTATCGTTGCGACACATTATAGGCGCGCACACACGCGTCGGCTAAACAGTTTAATGTGAAACTCGCGAACGATCGTTTAAGCGGTCGACGAGGGATTTTAGTACGCTGCACCGCGTTAATATCTAGCCCGGGACGTCTCGGTTTTATCAACTCGATAGAGGCTGCAACGTGTGTCGTCCACCGTATTGGTCAGTTCGACGTTGAAAAAATTACGAAAGAAACGATAAAAATATATTATATCGCGAGGGTGTGCAAGTACGAGTCTCGGATCGTTTAACGCGCGATTAAATTTCTCACGAGCAAAATGAACAAGGATTTTATCGCGCGTTCGCCGAGCGATAAGCGATTATAAATTTTATACGAGAAGTTATCGAAATCTGTTGGAATAAGGGCGGTAGTCGGTTAACATGGATCGAAGTTATCGAATCATCGGAAATTTCCTGCAAGTTAATTCCACGATCAAACCTTACATTTTCGTGGTCGACATTCGTGCCTAACCATCTCGCGGGAATAACTTTGTCCTTAATTAGCTCTTGATACTCCAATTTCCTGCGAACGCGACTTTTGCTTTCGTTAATTGCCCGATGAATCGTGCGGCCAAATTTAGAAACCCTCATGCATATTCCAAGAGGTACATCTTTAGCGATCATTAGATTTCATGTCGGTCGCGTGGAATGAATTAGCCTCGTTCCCCTATAAATTGTATCTCCAACACCGTTGCTCCAGCGAAACGTTAATTGAACGAAAGGAAATGTCACGTGTACGATCACTACTTCGATTCGCGTATGCATCGTGCTTACAGAGTCACTCCTACGATGTTTGCCATCTCGTGGCCTAAATGATTCCGCCGTTGCGTGACTGTCGCGGATTTCACGACAGAGAGTAGGGCGTTTGTCGTATCAGACACCCCGTCATTCCGAATTACCCACTACTTCGTGGTGTGTTAATACGCACGACAAACCTTTTATGCCAACGATCGGATCAACGATCAATTAACTGCTCGATCACGGAAGCATGTAACGAAACGTTGCGTTGCAAGCGCGAAACAACCCTCGATTGTATACGCGTTGTGTATGTACGACTAATTCGATTATAACAAAAAAACCGAGTTCTATTGAACCTTTCAGCGGAAATGTTACAGTAGTCATCCGCAATTCCGAGCAAAAATATTCGTGCAAATAAATTTCGATCGTCGCTAATTGTTTCATCCAACTACCATTTCTAGTCGCTCGAATAAAAGTTTACGCGAGACGAATAGAATATGTCAATTTCGGTGGGCAAAAATTTTACTCTCGCGACACTCTTACGATTTCTTGATTCGAAATTTCCCCTTTCCCGTAATCGCGCAACTATATTCCTCGATAGAAAATTACGTTTCCTTTGATCATCAACTTATCGCGATTAACGAAGGTACGTAAATTAGCGAGAAAGTTTTAACAAAGTTTGATACATTTGTAATTTTCTTCTTATTATCTGCTCCTCGGTCGTTTCATTTATTCCGGGTTTTCTTGTTATCACTGCCATCATCGTGGTAGTTCGTCAGTTGGCGGAAAGATGAAAAGGTTTCTCGTCCAATCATATTAACGTAAATTTCTAACTATTTGCCCGTGTATAGGAGCAAAAGATATTTTGTTTCGAATATCAATAATCATCGAATACGAGATAAATTTGAAAGATTCGATGGCATTGCAGAGTAAAATTACGGTATCGTAATTCCGAGTTCTACCTTCTAAACTAATAAGGACAAATGGGATCGTAAAACGCGTATAAATCGTTCTGCAACGAAACAAGATAAATCCGTCAGAAATTTATTTCGCAGCGTAAGATTGAAATTTATTCGTGAACGTAAATAAAACGGCAGTTAAATAAATACTGCACGCATAAAAGAATGCCTCCACCGACATCTCCCGTTTGACATCCACACTATGACTCATATCAGTAGGAGCATTTCGAACGGAAGTAGGTCATTCGTTATCACGGAATTTAGGAGCCGTCGCACGAAGAATTACTCGAATTGCTTTAATTAACTAATCCTATTTTCGTTCGATCCATACACGTATCCGAGCTGCGGAAACCTCGCAACCCGAATAAAACCATCGCTTGTTCTGCAACTAGAGATCCAAGAGCCGTTGCATTGTTCGGCTTCTACGATCGCCGTGTCGCGCAGAAGACACGACCAGAGATCTGTTAATAAGCGCGAATATATCGACTCGAAGATTGTACCGACTATGCGTTATAATACCGATGGCACGACTTAAAGCGATTCGCGATAAAGGTATCTGTGATTTTCGCGTACTGGAACTGGAACTGTAACTACTCGAGGACAACGCTACCGTTTAATTACCAGCCGAATCTCGGTGAGGAATTTCAAAAAGTTTATAGCTCGAATTACTTTTGGTTTTATCGCGGTGGAGTAATATGGGCGACACGTTTATACTTTTTATCGAGATAAAGGGTAAGGTTTAACTCGTGGCACGTCGACGCGCCATAAACTGGCAAACATTGATCGGACGCTTAACGAATTCCTTTACAACCCACCCGATCGTTTTATCGTCCGTAGCGGTATCGACGAGAAGGAGAAAATCAGACTCACCAAAACGTAGACGGCAAAGGGCATGACGAGTACGGCAACGAGCAGGTCGGCGACAGCTAAGCTGACGATGAAGTAATTCGTGACCGTCTGTAAAGCCCTCTCTCGAACTACGGCAAGAATAACCAATACGTTGCCGAATAGCGTCAAACAAGGCACGATCACCAGGATCAGAGCCCACCAGCTGTTGGCGTTCGTCTTTTCGTCAACGTCTGCTGTCGGACCACACTCGCCGCCTCTAACGACACCAGCCGCGGTGCCCGCAACTATCGAGGACGTGCAGTTCACGCTTCCGTTCAGATTCAGGTTAGCCCCTCCATCGTAGTAGGCCGTCAAATTAACGAAAGCGCTGTAATTCAATCGATTGATGTAATCGTTCAAGTCTTCGAAGACGAACAGGTCGGATATGCCGGTGTAATTGTCGGAGCTGGCCGACGACGGTGACACCGACGAAAAGAACGACGAAGACACACCGAACAAAGAGCCGGAAGGAGTGGACGAGCCTATCGTTGTCGAATCATTGAACCAACCTAACTCGATACCACTACTGGTCGACGCGTCTTTCTCACTCGTGGCGAAAACATCGTTCAAAACGGTCTCCTCGTGGACGGCAACGATGTCCTTGGTCGCGTTTGCGGAAAACAGATCGGTCGGTCGTTGCGTTTGGTCCAACGACAAGTTTCTCGCGATGGACCGCACCAGAGACTGGTCGTTCGCGTTCGTCCCCATTTCAGATTCCTCGCTTCGTGAATCCTGGAAACGTGCTCGGTGTCGATCACGAGATCTTGAAACGCGTTGGCTCTTGGATTTTGTCTCGCATTCTCGTGGCTGTTTCCTTCCTCTTATGCTCCGCGCGATAACATTTCTCGATCCCTCGTGCACGCGAGAAACCAGCCGCTGCGTGTGCTCTTCTATTCTCTCCTCTTCTCACCGATCACCACGACCGCCCCAGCCTAGAAGGCGTATCATCGAAATCCCTCGCCGAGAATTTCTGTAATAGAAAAAGGATTCACGGTTAGTACAACTTCCTTTCTTACCTTACACTTACCTTCGCCTCGTAAAATGAAAACGTAACATGCTCGACCAAGTGGTTGCGTGCTAGATAATTCAATTTCTTCGCGCTCGAGTTTCTATCTTAATTTTATTTTCTCGGTAAAACGCGTCGCACGAACCACGCGGAAATGAAAGCGGAAGGGGGATTAAGAAAATTTAATTAAACAGCAGATTAAGTATTAAACGAGCAACCAGGTAGGTAACAGTTGCGCGGAAACAACGAAAGAACTTTATCCGCGTAACGAAACAGCGCGAAACGAGCAATCTGCGTTTTGCATTTTTTCAAGCTCCAAGAGCGGCAGTCAACGCGACCGTAGAGGTTCTCGTCACCCGTCGTAAAGATATCTCGACGCGTGCTTCTCTAAACGTTCGAACAAAGTCGGCAAACTCCGTAGAGAAAATCTCCGTCTCCGTATTTTCAGTTTTAGATTCGAATTACGCGAACCTCCTCGTGAAAGCCTACCTTCGTTCCTGCGTTCCAAAGCGAAGACGAGATATCCATGAATCACGATAGCGTTCATCCGTTGGAAACGAATGTCGTGGCGCAATCTCGGAATTAAAAGAAAACTCACGATTCCTCTCTCGAACGGCTGACTTGACTTAGTTTCCGTAGAGGAGTGCTCTTCTTCCTACAGAGTAGAAAGAATCGAAGGCACGCACGTAGGAGGGGTGAATTGACAGATGGACAGGCATTATAGCGTTTCTCCTTGCCTTCCGGCGTAGACGGTGAGAAAGAGGGAAGAAGGATCTCGAAAGGCTCGAACGGGGCATCCCGGAGAACTCGGAGGACCCTCTTAAAGACAGAAATCATCCCCTTATCCCTCGAGACTTTCCATTTTCCTGTTTTGCATACAATTAGCGAACCGACTTGACCGTCTCGTCGATCACTGTATTTCGAACTGTAAATATTTCAACGTAAATCATCGCGCGAGCATTTTCTCTCGTAAACGAGCGTATTCGCGTGTTTCTACTCTTTTCCATTTCTTCCGCGAAACCACGTTTCCTAACCTCCGACACGCGTCATTTCGTCACTTACCGTTTCTTGACATCCCGTGTCGACTGCCTACTCGCGTCTTCTCGTTTCCGAAAGAAAATTTTCTACTGCAGAGCATTGCTATCCTCCCCCCTCGTACGCGTCAGTGGTAAATGTCAGCAAAGGAACGACATGGGAACTCGGAACAAGTCTCTCGCGAAGTGAAATTTCGCGCGACATTTTAACGAGATATTTCCAAAACGTCATTTTTCTACACCGCGTTCCTGCTTTTCAATCCACTCGGATAGACGGATATACCACGTTCGCTGGAAATTATGATGAACGTATTGCCTGGCAAAAAATTGAGCCCCATCCAACCCATTTATAATCTCTACATTTTATGATCTTCATAATTCATTCGCGGCGGAATAATACGCATTTCCTTTAGTACCCCTCTCTCAACGGATTACCAGCAACGCTACAATGCTTGAATACGTAAATATGCAGAGCAACGGTACAATTCTGAATAGAGCACGCAAAGTTGAAATTTCGTTCTAGACGTAACTGACATTTCTTCTCTCATTTGTTATCTATCCTTATTTCTTTTTTTTCTTTCTTCCCTCTCATTGTCTATCCAAACGCGTATATTATTCCTACTTGCACGTAAATTAAACGGATCCGAACTCAGTGGCAGCTTTTTCGAATCGAATGTGACTCGTCGCAATTTATTCTGTATATCGATTTAAAATTTCACGCATCGCGATGACAGTGACAAATACCTCGATACGACGACTGTGCATCGTACAATTTACTCGAAAGTATCCCATACGAACCACGGTTTAAAATGATATCAATAGCACGTGTAGCGAAACTAAAACAGAAAGCAAATTGTTTGGGAGAACGTAAACGCGAATATTTTGTTGCGTAACTGATACAGTGTCGCGTATATTGTTCAGATATTGTCCACTGTGAGAAACGGACGAAAGCAAACGGGTATGAAATTCGAGAGATAAGTTAGAATTATATCGTTACGCGACAAACGTTGGCGTGACGAGTACGCACGGCACAAAGCGCAGTTTTCTGGCTCGTTTCCTTGTTTCGACAAAAGTTAATCCCGAAAGTCTGCTTCCGTCCGTGTTCCGGCGGATGCATCGCGTTTCATTCCGCATATTTATTTCGGACAAATATCTCGACAAATATCTGCTTAAGTATTCGTCGACGTTAAGTAGTCGTCGTTCGTAACATCGGAGATATAGAGAAAATTGCGCGGTGGTAATCCTCTAATGACAAAAAGCAACTGCTTACACGTTCGCGACGGAAACGCGATACGCGATTTATTCTCTTCAGCGGTGGTTCTTCTCTCGCAAGAAACGAAATCACGGCTCCTACGATCGATTGTTCTTGTAGCTCAGCTGTACGTACTCGAGAAAGGCAGAAATACGACGTATCAGCACGAAGAAGATAACCCCGTGCCGTGACAACCTCGACTTAGATTAATTAGCGAAATAACGCTGTAATTAATTGCCTGCAATTGACAGGGAACTTCATTAAAAGAGAGAGCTTCCTCTTCTTTCTTATCCCGTGTCGAACTTTGCGATCATTTAAATTCCACGATCGGTTTAAGACAATCGAGAACGTCCGTTCGAAATAAAACGCTCGTTTTAAACATCGTACACCTGAGAAACGAAGGAAAACGAGAAGAAAACGAGAAGAAAACGATATATCTGACGAGGTAATCGTTTTCCAAATTATCGAGAATACGATGACTTCGAGTGCAACAGGTAAGCAGTATTATCTTGTTTAATTTGGTAACGAAAGTAAACCGATCGTCTGTGTATTTGCTTGTCATCGTACATTTACCCTTTATAGCTCGTAATTTTACTCGGGAATACCGATTTAACGGATATACGTATAATCGGAACGATACGTTCTGGAAATGTTTAAATATATTACCGGCACTACCGTACAGTGACACCTCGATCGCGTAAAGTAGTAAAAGCACGCGTTAAGGCCGACGGCGGAACGATGCGTACCGAGGAACAGCACGAAATTCTACGGTGATTATTTTTACTAGTAGATCCCGTAAAATAGCAAATTTCAGAATTAACGTTCACGCGAAACGTTCTCGATTCGCGAGATTATAAAGATTTGCATCTTTATACGGATTATCCGGTTTTATCTCTTTAGCCGAATACGACACGCAGTAGCGTGGAATATACCAGAAATCGGTCTATTCTTCGCTTTAATTTAAAGCTGCGAGTAAGTTTTACTCGCCGTACTACGATATCGGTAATTACACGAGAAAATACGACGCACGCTGATCCAAAAATGCGCTGATCGTACAGCGTAACCGCGCGTAGGGAATTATTTTAGACGGATCGATATCACGCGAACGCTAACTCTGCTCGTTTGTTTATCGCGAACACGTATACGTCTCGATGGCTCGATACATCGAACATCTTTTATGCAGTTTCTCGCGTATGCTTTTAATACATGCAAGAAAACGAGGGGGCACTTTATATTTCATGCGCGTACGAGGATATCTGCTTCGCTCTTCGTTGTCACCTCTTATTTATAACCTCTTTAATTCGAGCATCTTTCGCTAGACCGAAACAAGTTTCCTTTCTTCGTTCGCTGTCAAATCGCGATTTAATTAATAACGACTAAGGCCCAATTAGCAATTCAAATTCTCCCATACCTACTACACACCCTTCACACGCTCGGGCATTTCTCGGTCAAGAGAACGTTAAGTACGAAACTGCAGGAAATCGGGGGGCGATTAAACCGTTACTTACCATTGATCACACCTGTGACACTTGTGCGTCGTCATGGTAACGTTCATCCATGACTGTCCATCTTCTTGGAATTTCGAACGACTCGATTCGATCAGAGGGGACGTGGTGTATAGCCGGGAATGTTAAACGTTCTTGCCAATCACGGCGATGCGAATCGCGATCGCGTGAAATAAAAATGAGGTGTCGCACGACAACCAGAAATCCAACGGTTCAGAGCGTAATCTGGAAACGACGTCGATTCGTTGGAGAATTTCCTCGTGCTGTCACGCGTTCGTCGCCAAGTTCGCCTCGTGCCTTCCCCATATTCTGCGCAAGATCCACGTATCGAGTGTGGCTCTCTGTCTGCGTGTATATATCAGGGGGATGATCCTCGGCACCGTGACCCAACCATAGAATACACGGTAGTCGGACTAAGCTCCACCATTCACCCTCCACTGCTAGATCGATTCAATATTTTGCAACGAGATCAAAAACCTCGCTCGGCTTTGTACTCGATCTAAAGCAGCGGCATTGTGCCGTCTTGGTTTATTACGTTTCCCGCAAAGAGAAGTCGCTCGATAGGAAAATCCATTTCATCGGACATCTCCTGGAAAGCCTCCTCGCTGCGTTTCCTTCTCGGCTTCGATCCACCGATTAAACGATCTCGACGATCGGTTTAAACGACAACACCGGACATCGCTTTAATCGGCTAGCATTCAGTAGAGCTGGTTAAATCTGGACCAGTCGACCCTCGACCGACCAATCGACGTTAAATTTCCTAGCAGGAAATTCACCTCTCTAACGCCGAATGCTGGGAATCCTTTGGTCGAACGGGATCCATGAACACTCGGCGTGCTTTCCATTCGACCACGTACAGTCGATGGCAATTACCGGACATTCTTCTTCGCTGTCCGTCGCGTCTTTCTCTCCTATAAACACCTCGACACACTTTACACTTCTTACCGTCATTTCTCTCGCACTTTCTTTCCGTTCCAACTAGTCAATCGCGAACATCGAAACGAACCCGATTCTTTCTCCTTTTCTCCCTCTAGCTCTCCCTCTATCCCTCTATCCCTCTATTTCTCTCTCCCCCACCCCTCTCCTCCTTCTCCCTCTCAGCTCACTCTCTCGCTCTCGGTCTCGCGAACCCACTTTGAATATTCACACGCGTCGAAAATCGGTCGACTCGATTATCGGGATCACTCGGAAAGTTGGCAGGGTTCACGGTGAAAACAATCGACGGTATATCGACGGGCGTAGCTACTCGTAATGGATAACGATAGAGAAGGGAGCAGCCGAGATACCTGTGGATTCCACGAACACGATCAACGATCGCGATCGAAAAGTCATCTTCTATCAACACCCCTGAGAGACCAAGGCGGACCACGTTGGCCAAGATCGAACGACGAGGGGTGGCATCGTCGTCGCCGTGATCGTCCTCGTCGTCCTACTCTTGGTCGCTTATCTGGATCGCCGAGGCAGCACTTTCGAGCCACGTTGTTGAACGAACGGCGAGCGACTGGCTGTCTGTTCGAGTTTCTACACTACCTCGAATCCCGAAGCTCGCACGTTCGTGAGAGATCGGGGAGGGAACAGCGGTGGAGGGGGCTGCCCGACGGCCTATTCCTCTCTCTTCAACCCTACGCGCACACGCTGCTCTCGTCACCGACCCTTAATTCGCAACCCTACCCCACTACTACCACCACTACCACCACCATCACCACCGCCACCACCACCACCACCACCACCACCACCATCACTACCGCCGCCACCATCACCTCTTCTACCCCTTTTTCCTTTTCCTTTTCCTTTTCCCTTTCCCTTCCCCTTCCTTGCTCCCTTTCCTATTCCCTTTCCTATTTTCCTTCCTTCTACTACACACACATATATATATATCTCTCTCTCTCCCTTTCACGACCATTCTTCTTTCCCTTTCTGCTGCTTTCCCACCCCTTTCTGTTCTCCCCTCACTTTTTTCTCTCTATCGTAAAGAAGCGTGAAATTTGCTGGATCAGCTAGTTTGGTAATACTATTAATTTTTACACCGACTATATTATCCGCATCTTATCCGTCACCGTCTTTAGTAATCTCCCACGTTTGACGTTATTCGCGAGAAATACCTTCTTCTTCAACCTCGTTATTTACAACCGAAATATTTCGATACGTTGACGGAATGGTGGGAGCAAGCAGAGATACGAAAGCGCTAAAATCTATAGTTTCCAGCCTTTCGTCTGTCGCAAACTCCGGTGCTCGCTAAAATCGAGGCAATCTCTAACTTTCCCGATTGGCCTAACGTGACACGCGATCGATGCGCGATGAAACACAATACCCTTTCCAACCTTTCCACGATACAAAAAGTGTTACGCCAATTACGAGCTTCGTGATCTATCATCCCAATCGTTATCGATACGTTTTCAGAGCTGGACGTCTCCGAGAAAAGAACTAGTCGTCCGTTAGCCGAATTAATCGACGAATGTCGTGGCTACAGAGATACGAAATAACGAGGTAAAACGAAAAAAGCAACATCTTGGGAAGGAAACAAGTTTCGTCGAGATAGAATTTCATTTCGCGGAAGAAGTAATTTTGTTTTATTCTAGCTGATTGTCAGTCAAGAATGCAACGAGGGCGCATCCGGCTGCGAGTTCGCGAGAAAAATTCTTCCTTTCGTTCTGCGTTAATACGAATGTTGCGAGAGATGCGACGTTCGATGATTCGGGAACCACGTTGAAGAAATATCTCTTGAAAAGCGCTCGTGACGATCGTTACTTTTCGATTGCACGATCGAATTCAATTTTCGATGATGAATCTTACAGGTTGCACGAGTAGCCACTCGCGCAGCGAGATGGAAGCAAACGTCTGATCCACAGGGAGTTTGCCATTTAACCCGACATAAGCCATCGCTTTGATTGCAGGCTATTAAAGTTTCATCTTCAGAAATCTATCTTGCGGTAATGAAAATACCTTGCGTTTAGCAATCGTTTCCTACTAATTCGTAGATTCGCGATACGAAAGAGGGACGATAGAAAGGAACGTTCAGATACTTGGATAAAGCAGCGGATAAACCGTTTGTCGAGAATCGAGAAAAGTCGAATTACGCAGAGTCAAGAGTAAAAGCTTCGCGATTATGAGATTTGCCTGCGAAACGCAACATCGTCGGAACCTGATTAAAATTTATATCAACCGAGTTAAGTGGATGAATACCTTCGTAACGAATTTATAAGCTAACTGCGTATCCTCTACGTAGGGTTTTAAATTTTCAAAGGATACTCCGTTACGCGAGCTAGCAAACACGTCAACATCGCCGTAAGATAGATGTACGTTTTCGTTAATAAACGAGTCGACGTGCTTTCATCGAAAAGATGGTCAATGTTCTCTGCTGAAACCAAACGCGAAACAGCCCTGTATCTGTTACCGTCCATTTCTCAACCGTTAATTACAAAAACTGTCATCGTCGGTTTATCGTGAGTATCGGAAAAATAATTAGGACCGTGCAAGGTTTACGTTTAAAGCCACGACCAACGAAATTCTTCCTTGCCTGACTAGGCGCAATTTTTACGAAAACTAATAAAACGCGTCCGTTGATCTTTTCATAATTAAAGTCGCCCTGTTCCGTTACCCTGGGCTACGGAAGGTCTAATCCACTCTCAAAGTCACGAGTATACGCATTCCTTCGTGGCAAATTAGGAGGTATGATTACAGTCTCGTGGTATTCCCTCATCCGTGTGTCGTAAAACCGTTTTACAGCGTATCCTCGACGGTGCTTGCGACCGCTCTCCTTTTTACGATACGATGAAGATGAAAAATCACCAGTGAACCAGGCATTTTCGTAACCAAGCCATCGGATCTCTGAACGACGCGAACATCTGTCTACGGTTCACGGTTGCTTTTAATAATATCCGACTTTTCGTTTCTCCTCCTCTCTCTCTTTCTCTCTTTCTCTCTCTCTCTCGCTAATTCTCCGGGAACTTTTATCCGAATAACGTATTTAAAATTTCCTTCGAGACGAAATAAAATATATCTCGGATACGTGGCTGTTAGTGGACCGCGATGGCAAACCGTTTCACAGCTACCTGGCTAACCGTCCCTCGATATTGAATTAATTTTTTGCTCCCCTTCATGCGTATCGACTTGTTTGACCGGCGACAATCACGGCACCTATGGCAACCATCGATTCACGCGTAGCCGCAACCGAACACCGCACCGATTGATATCGATATAAAGCCACCTGTAGTCGACGCGTTTCATAGACGCGTACTCGGCTGAAATTCAAGAAAGAGCAGCTTCGCTGGCTCGAGATAATTGCATATTCATGAATTTCAGTCTCGAGGGACGTTTGCGTTGCAATGATTCAACGACGTGAAACTGGAACGAATTGGGTTCGCAGGTCGAAGGGGTTCGTTCATAACGACCAATCGACTGCACCGTTAGCCGTTGTTGTTTCAAACTATCCGTTTCAACCACCAAGTAGCAGTATACTTAATAGAGATGTACCCGTTCAAACATCTCGATCGGATCGTTCTCGCTTCCGATCAAAATTCAGCCACTTACGCCATAGTTTCAATCCATTGCGTTATGTATGAATTCATATCGAACAAATGATCTATCTAAATTCGAATCGATGATCGCGAACGTGTCGCATCGAGTGTTCCATTTTCTCGTTTATGAACGCGTGTTTTACGCTGCTTCGAATGTTATATTCGGACGTGTATCACGTATTAACGAAATTCATTTTCGCCACGTGCATTTAATCGGACTACCTATTTGCTCGAGCTTCGAACACGATAGCAACCCGAATGACGAAAGACACGATTGCTACTATATATATATATATATATATACGGTAAACATTTTTTACTATTCCGCCCTTTGGCTTACGCCAGAGGTGGTGGATGCCTACTTACGAGCCGTTTGGCACGCGATTGCTCCACATTCCTCTCGAATTTCTCCATGTAAGGAGACAGGGATAGCATCGGTATCCTAGCTATTCCGAAATGCTCCTTATTGCAGCGACGAAATTTACGAGCGACTTTACACCATGTACATATGTGCAAACGCAGATTGTACTTTTAACCGAAATTTCGAAAAATAACGCGCGAATAGAAATATTTTTCCCTACCTTCTTATTCGCCAGAAAATAATAACAGTTTCCTTCGGCAATTCTTTGCCTCGACGTATCTTCAAACTCGATGGCACTCGTCTGGAAAAATCAGTTTATCTCGAGTGTCTCGATACACAACGACCAAGCAAAATCGAAAGAGCATTTTAACGAAAGTACGCGTTAAAATTAATATATTCCGGGTTTTCTCTACCATCGAATAATACGAATCTTAATCCTTCGTCGACTCGGAATTAATCCAGCTGAAAAATATTCTCGGACAGTCCCCCGTTAATCAGCAAATTCCTACGCCTGACCACGCACCGACTCGTACTACTTAATACGGATCCCATCCTGAACTTATCTCTCGTTATTTTAATTTCTT